ACACACACACACACACACACTCATATACACGCTCACCTTCACGGGCACACGCACACGGATACACGTAGATACACATTATATACGTACGGCACTTATCGTTATATATGTGCACACACTTATACAAACACAAGTGCACTAACCATCTTTGCACATGGGTCCAGTGAATGACGTCATATCACAGTCGCACTTGTAGGATGTCCACTGCTGCACACACCGGCCTTGGTTCGCGCACGAGTCGTTCACACACTTACTCATGGGGCCTGCCGACGACGAACCATGAATGAGATCAGGATGAGGTAGTCAGCTTAGCTTTATTTTTAGACAGAATAGAAGCTCTGCTTGATTAATACATAATGCAGTTTCATGAATTTACTTTTCCATTACAGACTAGAGTCCTCGGCAGAGTTCTCACGGAGGAATAATATAATAATCAACACCATAACCATCACCACCACCACTAGTAACAGCAACAACAACCACAAACACGCTCCCATCTTTACAGCAGTCACCCATAGAAAGATCATTTTTATGGTCACCATGATCACCATCAACACAACTACAACCATCACCACCGACAACACCACCATCACCACCACCACCACTAGCAACAGCAACAACAACCACAAGTACTCTCCCATCTCTACAGCAGTCACCCATAGAAAGATCATTATCATGATCACCATGATCACCATCAACACAATCACCACCGACCAGAACAACAACAACAAGAGCAACAATCACCACCACCACCATCACCACCACCACCAACAAGAACCAACAACAACCACAATCAGTCTCCCACCTCTACATCCATCCCCCACAGACTCGTGTATAGGGTTGGCCTCCCTCAGTACATTCGGCAGATAACCGTTCAAGTTGAGAGAGCCCAGACAGCCGACAAAACCGTGGCGAGAGTAGACCAGCTTGGGCAGAGATGGGTACATGGTCTTCCGCACACCGCCAATGTACAGGAACCCGTCCAGGTCAAAGCGGTTGTTTTTGGTTCCTGTGAGGTCGTCCACTGTGGGGGTGTTGTCGTCAACTCGCAGCAGTTGTGTGAACTTCTCAACTCTGAATATACGAGCCTAATGTGAAGACAAGATAGAGCAACATTGGAGACTGAAAGGTTATTATGCACTTACTCCGACTTACTTATTGGAACGTTTTTTCACTTTTCTCTTTTTTGTCACCCATTGCCTTTACTCTTTCGCCCCCCCCCCCCAAAAAAAAAAACACAAAAAAAAATAAAAAACTATTGACTCATAGACTCTTTGCGTTGCATTCAAAACCCGCGAGTTCGATTTTTAGAAGTGGAATTTAAAAAAAAAGTGCAATATCTCTGTCTATCTGCTGGGATGTTGTATTCCACTCCACTGCATGAGTTGGGCCATCAAGCAGGGTCGAAGCAGTCCGTCTCCTCGATGACCGGGGGACTTAGATTTTATCGATTGGGATGTAAAACATTTACAATTGCAGAGGAAGTCCGGTAAAATCAAAATTTGCCGAACCGCCGGGATTCAATCGGTTTAGCCGGGTTTCGATTAACAGAGGTTGCTCAATTAGAAAAAAAAACCCGGGGATGTTTGTTTTCTTTTGGTTTACCTCTGTTTTTGGATTAACAGTGTTCGGTTTAAGTGGATTCCAGGATTTATGTTAAAATAATCATCGGTTTAGCCGGGCTGAAACCCGTTAGTTGCTCAAATACAAGGAAAAAATCTTTGGTTAACCCCTGTTTTCGGATTAACCGTATTCGGATTAAACGGAATCCACTAAAGATATTTCTACAAAGATAATTAGCATGTAGCGTGTGAGTGTAGTGACCAGGTCACACTTTATAACACTGACCTCATGCCACTTGTTGTCATTAATGGGATGTTGCACGTTAGCCTTGACCCTCTGAGCACCCTCGCCCATATTGTAGACGTAGTAGAGAAAGCCCTGGAACAGCTCCAGGGCGAAAAAGTCGTTCTCGTTGCCCCCGTTGTAGAGGATGAGGCCGTCGCTCTCCGTGGTCTTGAGCTGTAGCGAGACAGAGAACTCCTCATGGGCCTGCAGTGTGGGCAGAATGGCGAAGGCGTCCACAGATTTGAAGGTCACCGGGTCGCGGACCACGTACTCGTCCGAGCTGAAGCGAGCTGAGATCTCGATGTTGTCGCCCGTCCCTGATTTGGCCATCTGACAAAGATGGAGGGAAAAGAAAATCGAAGCATAAATAAATAAGAAATAAACCAAGAACAGGAGGCAAATGTATAACGAAAAGTTTTCATTCATAATATGTGTTGCAGGGTGGTGGCATCAGGCGCTCGACAATTTTGGGACATATTGAATCATTGATATAATCTGAACACCTGTTCATTTGTCTTGCTTTTGGTGGAAAAATACCCACCAATCTTGAATAGTAGTCGAGATATTTGCGAAGTAGGGATAGCCTGTTGTAAGGGGTCAAATTAATGAGCAAATGGTCCCAAAGTTTGATGACTGTCACTGCTTGAGAGTCTCTGGAGACTGAATATTTACATTTTTTTGGTTTTAAGTAAAATCCACTCAGAAATGAGTTTTTAAATGGACATAAGAGATGCTGAGCCAACCCACCTCCCCTTAAATAAAATAAATTTATAAAACTTACCAAACCGACGGAAAATGCGTTTCTTTGATTTCATTTTTTGGGTGAACGCCTGATTTCACCACGATGCCTCGCAGATGTGAGTTATTCTAACAAATAAGCATTCTTGAAACCTCGAAAATTACTGTTTGGCAGTTACAATACTCATAACAATGACACTGTGATAGATTATGTTCCGCCCACAAACCTTCCAAAACGTACTGCCTGTAGCAATAAATTAATTTCATTTCAATAAAAAAAAAAAAAAATCTAATTCATCATAACGCATAAAACTGTAACGCACAATTAAACGTCTCACCACGTGACTAAATTTTGCTCGTTCTGTTATTCTTCAGAATATCAGGGTCTATTTAGCTCGATAAACAAAGAAGACTTTCCATCTTTTGTATTTTGTTTCGTTTGAGTAGACAGAAGTATATTAGCAAGATACGGCCTTTTAATATAGGGAAAAAGCAAGACTGAAACGACAGAGGGATTTAGTTCAAGTTAGAGTTTTATGGAACTTGCATCACAAATGGGTTATTTAAGTGCAGATGATTAGAGGTGTTACTAGTACTAGAGAGTAACATACAAAGAGAAGAAATAGGAGAGGGACGAAAGAAGTTTAATACAAAAATGTAACACACCATACCACAGCACCTGCCTACAGAGAGAGAGAGAGAGAGAGAGAGAGAGAGAGAGAGAGAGAGAGAGAGAGAGAGAGAGAGAGAGAGAGAGAGAGAAAGAGAGAGAGAGAGTGTGAGGGAGAGAGGGAGAGAGAAACAGAAAGAGAGACAGAGACAGAGAGACAGAGGGAGAGGTGAGAGAGAGAGGGAAAAAGAGAAAGAGAGAGAGAGAGAGAGGGAAAAAGAGAAAGAGAGAGAGAGAGAGAGAGAGAGAGAGAGAGAGAGAGAGAGAGAGAGAGAGAGAGAGAGAGAGAGAGAGAGAGCGCACTCTAAAAGCACCCGCCCTCTTTGCTATGCCTCACTAAGCTCGAGCAAAGCACAAGCCAAGACATACCTGGAAGAAGTGGTTGTTGTTGAAGATGAAGGCTTGCATGGAGCCGATGAATCCCGAGTGGTCACTGCCGGAGTGACCAGTGCCCGCTCCGCTGTCGTCCTGCACCATGTGACCCGCCTCCACACTGCTCAGTCCCAGTTCTCTCGCCCGGCCGGGCAGGTCGGCTGGACACACGGACACACGGAAACACGGACACATATGGACACAGGTGGACACAGGTGGACACAGGTGGACACAGGCAGATACAGGTGGACACACGGACACAAATGGATACAAGGACACAAACAGTAACACGGACACAAAAGGACACAGGTGGACACAAGGACACATTTGAACCAACGGAGGTGGACACACGCGGACACAGGTGGACACACGATACAAATGGAAACACGGACACGGAAGGACACAGGTGGACACACATACATAGGTGGACACAGGAAGACACAGGTGGACATACAGACATAGATGGACACACGGGCATTGGAGGACACAGGTGGACACACGGACATAGGTGGACACACGGACATAGGTGGACACAGGTGGAGACAGATGGACACAGGAGGACATAGTGGACACAGCCATGTAGAGATAGAGGGCATTTGCGCACATGTGACGTAACACAAACACCATGGAAAAAATAAAAGCAAAACAAACCCACGGGTAGACAGGGATGAACGAGGACAGAAACAAAAAGAAAGAGATTAAAGGGAAGTATTAGTACCTCGCGTAAATTTTGAGATGAATATATTGTTTTTTTCCTATTATGCTGTATTCTAGAAATGTTGTTTTAGGAACAATAATACGCTTTACAAAATATACAGCAAATAATGCAAGTAACAGCTTTATTGACTTAGGAAGGCACAGGAGTGACTTATAAGAGGTATAATTTATGTAGCTGCTATTATATTTAGCTGTTTCAAAAATAAATAGAATTAGCTTTTCCGTATGGATAGAGGATTTGCTGTTTCTGTTAAAGCTTTATGTACTACTGGTTAATATCTGGGTGCCAAGCATATATCTAAAGTGAGGCTAGATACACTGAAAAGGAAAAGAAAACGTGGAAGCTTGGGCAAAAGTCAGATTAGAAACAACAGTAAAAAAAAGACTCCTCGCGGGAACACTCTTAATGGCATTATACATATGTATTTAAACCCCAGCGGCTGATAATAAGACATACATTTCATACCTTAGAATATGATAAGATAAAGATACTGCCATCGTACCACATGCAGTTATTGTTGCATTCAACTTAGGAAAAAATGGTTACCAATACACCAGTAAGAGTTACACACATGCACAGCGTTATGTTAGTACAGCGTTCTGCAATTTTTTAAATGCAACCCTTAACCAGAACCCCTCCCCCCCAAGTTATTTTACACTCATGAGAACATTCATTCAAACACTGCCAGCTGAACTAAATAAACCGCTTTCAAGTTCTTGAGATGAGTGGCTTATTTCCTGCAGCTTTGCATATTTTCAATTTTGTTTTTATAACTATGCCATTCTTTCCTCAAAAAAATACACTGCAGACTGGAAGGTGGAACCCTACAAAGCAAATTCGGTTTTTTACTTTGCAAAGTTGTAAATCAGTACCCATGCAACCAAAGTGGACCGAATGATTTAGTGAATAAGTTTGCAGCCATGCTAGCAAGCAAAACGCTCCTCCGCAAATTCTAACTGTGACGTTAAAAAAGAAAAGCGCAGACAACCGCTCTCTACTACCAGTTGACCAACACTCGTCCATGCCAGCGGTTTGCATGGCAATCTCGTCCTTTTTTTCCTTTTGTTTTGAAGAGCAATTTATTGGGCTCTACTTTTTCGTCCATTGGCAATCATCTGGAAGTGTCTGGCATGGGCGCATACTAATTCTGACTGCATCTGGCACTGATAGTGTGTACCTAACATTTAAGTCAAATTGTTATTGATATCCATGCTATTGATTACAACGAACAATAGAAGAAAACAACAGCGGAGAAAATAAGCCAGAGGCACAGGTACAATGCCATCAGTTGATTAACGACAGGAGTGTCAGATGAAATGACATACGACAAGAGTCTACGAGATATACAGGACACACGTCTAAAGTTCCCGAAGGCCCCTGCTTAGACATGGACAGAAAACAATTAGCTTCGAGAATTGTGAGCTGATCACGACAGCAACAGTGTCGTGTTACTCAAATGGCATTCATTTCTAGCTTTCGAACATTATACGTTTCCAAAAAGGCTCTTAGAAGAACAGAACAACAACAAACAAACAAACAACAAACGAACAAACTAACGAGAGGCTGTCACTCGACTTTAGCGTTATTTACAGATCATTGTTCTTTGCCTGTTTTGCATAACAAATCTTCGGTGAAATAAAGCACTACGCCAAAGGCTAGCTATCTATTTCATACTAGATTGAGCGCTAAACAAGCGTTTTTCGATTTGTTACGAAGGTCATTACATATTTTTCTTGGGGCATAAAGCAGGCTAATGTGAAACTTAATGCCTCTGCTAACAAGCGATTGTATGCACACGAAACCCCTTTAGGATACGGTCTCGTTTGACATATATCTCTTTCTTCTTTTGACTCAGTTACAACTGACTAGCCCAGAGGTACTTTAGCGTTCCACAAACCAAAAAAAACATGACACAATTAGAACATTTTCCAAGAGGGGGAAAGTACTACAAGGAGTTTAAGCAATCCAGTCTTGGCACTAGGTTGAAGTTGAAATTAAAGTATAGCTTTGAACAGACGATAGCAATCCAAACTGAACCCCCCCCCCCCCTCCACAAACAATTAGTGCCCATCAGATAAATTATCTACATTAGCTTCAAAAACCAATCTCAATCCATCTTTAAATACAACAGCAACATCAGCCACAATCACAACAATATCAACGATAACAATGACAAAAGACCCAAACAACAACAATGATTCCAGCAATAACAAGAAAGATGTCTCCACCACCATACCACCAACACCATGACAACCATCACCACCAACAACACCAACAACAACCACCTGATAATGGATGGATACCCATGTCCATGCCTGTTAGGATCGGCATGACTGAGCTATAGAGTTGAGAACGTGTTACTCGTTCTTTAGAGTAAACTCAATATATTTCTTGCAGTCTGTTTTCCAACTGTCCGTCTACACTATTTTAGAATGACAGTGCCATAAGTAGAGAAAATGTGGCACTAATGATGGTGAACACTTTAAAAGAGAAAAAGCTTTTGATTGAAAGGTGTTAAACGATGAAAGGAGAAAGGCAATAGTCCGGATGGAAAGACTTGTAGGAGGTGAAGAATACCTATACAAATAACTGCATACGATAGATTGTACTCAAGGTTCAAACACAAGACTTTAGATACATATACTTTTTATTTTGCTGGGATCCTAGATTATTTTCTGACCTTCCCCGTTCTCGTTTTCTTCTTCTTTCTTCCTCGTTATTTTCTGACCGAGTTGTCTAGGTAAACAATAAATATTTGACAAAGTTTTCCCCCCAAAAACCCCCACGATCTTGTGCATTAAAAAAAAAAAGAAAGAAAGTGGTCCTCTTGCTACCATCACAAGACTTGTTTTTTCAAGGGAATGAGTTTCAACCAAATAAGAACATAACAGTATAATCACTCTTCACTACACAATTTTTAAGCTGCGTTAGAAACTGTGCGACAAAGAGACTGTTATTCAAGCTATATTATTCCTATGCCTGTGAAGTTATACAAAACCAAAGGAGCACAAAATAAAAGAATATAGCTGCTGCTAGATGAATGTCTACTTGCTTAAAATCTTGGTAGAAGCAAGAAGGAAAAGAAAGGGGGAATAAAAAAGAGGGGTCAGGGTGGGAGAGAGGAATTTTTCTGACATCAAGTCATGCTTCATGCATAGGGTAACAGAAGTCTGAGAAGACAGAGCCAGACATGGAACAGTACCGACTTCGGTCCCAGGCGGGTTTTTGTGACCCACAAAAATGTAGTTAGTGGCCAAAGAGAAGGTGCTACCCGGTAGCTGGTCTGAAAATGGAGAAAAAAACTAGCCAGCTTAGAACTTCTCCGCTGTTGGCAAAAGGCTCGAATGCTTTCTTGCGAAAAAAAAACCCTTAAAAAAACTCCTTATTTTTGTGTGCATATTATTCTCTAATAAACAAACATAAGGACACACAACATAATATCACATTATTGTATTTATAGAACTCAAAAAAGAGCCCTGGATTTGGCGACAGTAACAGCAGCACCGTTAACTTCAACTCAAATGTTTACTTTAGCTTCACTATGAGTTTCACGGCACTTGCAATCTAAAAAGGTCAAATTTAGTGCCGAAGATTAGAGGTGTTACAAGAGTGTAACAAAGAAAAATGAAAGAGGAGTGATAAGGACGATATATGTTTGATCAGAAAGAAAAGTAAACCACTTCAGGGCACCTGGCAACCACCCACGCACAAACACACAAAAAAGTAATATTCAAACAAGAAAAACTAGATCCCCCCACTCAGCTCCTACAATCGCACTATAACGTGACAAACTGCAAACAGTAGATACAAAATCAAACTCAACATATCAAAGCAGAACGCTTTAAAGGTTTGAAAGAGATACAATATTACATTTCTCCCTCCTTCAGTGCACATGTGTGAGCGCATTCATATCCACATCGTAACACCCAGGCGCACACACAGACACACACACAGACACACACACATACACCCCCCCCCACAACAACAACAACAACAACAACAACAACAACAACAACAACAACAACAACAACAACAACAACAACAACAACTACATGAACAACAAAAAACCCATTCCAGTATACAAGTAAAAAATGACACCCCCCACCCCACCGAAAAGACTGAAACCCTCCCCCCAAACAAAACAAACCTCCACATCCCCCAACCCAAAACAAACCTCAGAATAGAACAAAACAACGACAAGCGAGTCTTTCAGCACGGAAGGAGAACTGGCGAAGAACTCACCTATGACTGGTCTGTCTGAGTCTATGGCCAGTTCCACGGTTTGGACACGACGCCGGATGAACACGGTGTGCCAACGGTCATCGTTCAGTCGGTGACCAACGGACAGAACCTGGGAATTGTTGGTTGTTTTAAAACTATTATAGTTCAGCTTGCGGGCCAATTTCGTTGTTGCTGTTGTTGTTGTTGCTGTTGTTGTTGTTGCTGTTGTTGTTGTTGCTGTTGTTGCTGTTGCTGTGGCTGTTTTTATGTTATAGATGTTGCTGTTGTTGTTGCTGATGATGTTATATTTATTGTTGGCTAAGTTGCTGTTGTCGTTGTTACTGTTGTTGTTTCTATTGATGTTGTCGTTGTTAGAGAGAGAGAGAGAGAGAGAGAGAGAGAGAGAGAT